GTTTGAGTAGTTTGTCTGTTAGGAATAGGGTTTCTCATTAGGGATTTATATGGTTTAGTATATTCGCTCCCCTGGCAAGGTTATCTTTAGAATTGTTCATCTTTAATTGTTCTTAATGCTAGATCTAGAGTAATTAACTAGATCTTGAATCCAAACAATAGATATACCTGCCATAGGTATATGTATTTGGACTATTATTTGATGAGCCTGGTTTATAGTTGTGTAATAAGAATCGACCTATCTACTAAGGTGAACAATCGAACTCGTTCAGAATGCATGTTTAAGTTAAAGATCTCTCGGTTTCTCCGGTTATTCTTAACTATAGGCATAGGGAGTTTTGCGGAACGTCCCCGGTTATTCCATAATTAGAGTTTGAGTTTAAGAATGGTTCGATAACAACATAGCTATCATTAGATCTACTAACCAATAGTTTCCTGAGAATACCCTACTGCTATCTCTTTATTTAATCGTTACACAACCTTCACTCTGCTGTCTTCTTACTTTATTTACTTTATTTCAATCATTCCATGCTAGCTTAATCTTGACATTTGATTCATTGTGTGAACAAAAGAACTTTGAGAAAATTCGACCCTTAAATACTGAACCCGATCCCTTATTTGAGAGAGTAGGTTTAAGGCAATTTGAACCATATCAAATTTGGCGGAGTTGCCAAAGTTCTTGGGAATTATCATTGAGTTTAGTTTAGAGATTTCGTCTACTTTTTACTTTTATTTTGTTACTCACGCGTTTCTTGTTTTCTTGTTTTCTATGTTTCAGGTCAATGCCTAGGCAAACAAGGAGCACACAATAGAAGGAGTTGATCAACTTGTCTGTTCTTGAGTTGGGAAAACTCGAACGCACCAACAACAAAACTCAGAGATTAGCAATGGCTAACAGAGCCATCAGAGCTGATGAGGAAGGAGTTTGAGAGATGAGGATGGGCAAGCCTACAATGAGGCTTGTCAGAGATTGGATGATCATGTACTTATCCACCCTGAGGACGCCAATGAGGATCAGGCGCGCCTCAATGCACAATTAGCTGCCAGAGATGCAGCAGGGCTCAGTGTCGAGCGACACCAACTAGGTGTCGATCGACACCTTCAGGACCAGAACGAAGATGCGATTGGTGTCGAGCGACACAACAGAGGTGTCTATCAACACCAACCCCAGATTCCTGTAGTTATTCTTCCATCTGCGGAACCACGTCGTACTCTTGGGGATTTCAACAGGCCGGACCTATTCTATGCTAATCGATCAGTGATTGTAATCCCACTTTTTCAGAGGAACGACTATGTTTAGCTTGGCTACTTTGCTTTAGTTGGCCAGCATCCTTTCCATGGCTTGTCTCATGAGCAGTTAATGGACAACATCAAGCGTTTTGAGGACCTTGTTTTGAGCAGCAAAGCTAATGGAGTGTCAAAAGACTATCTACTGTGGAAGCTCTTCCCTTATTCACTTGCTGTGGAAGCCGCTTCTTGGCTGAAACAACTAAATGCAGGTTCTCTCAAGACATAGAGAAGCATCAAGATAGCTTTCTTGAACAATTTTTATGATGATGCTAAGTTTGAAGAGCTGGGAAACAAGTTGTCTACCTTCACCCAAGGTCCAGCTGAGGCTTTCAAAGCAGCATAGGTTAGCTTCAAGGAATATCAACGTGACTGCCCGCATCAATGTTTTAGTGAGGTACAACTTTTGGGTACCTTTTTTAGAGGAGTTGATTGGAGATACCAGATGGCTCTAGATGCAGCGAGCAATGGTAATTTCAACACACGTGATCCAGCTGATGCTACCACTCTGATAGAGAATCTTGCTTGCAGCAATAGTACCAAGAATGCTGACTTTGAGAGGAAGAAGATTGCTGGTACTTTTTCAGGAAATCAGATGGCAGAGGTACATGCTAAGCTGGATTCGGTTCACAACTTGCTTAAAGGGAAGAAGCATGTCCACTTTGCAACTGAGGATGAGACCATTGAGCCTGAAACTGAGTCCGAAGAGGGAGTCTTCTACATAGTTGGACAAGGCTACAGAATGTTTGGGCAGCCACTTGGCAACTTTAGTGGCAACAGGTTTACAGGGAACCAGAGATCCTTGAACTACACTCCAAAGCCTGCCTTCCAGAAGACATTTCTTCAGAGCAACTTCTAGAGGACTTATGGTAATTCAACTTACCAGGCCCCCCTCCACCCTTATTAGAGAGCCGAATGGAATCCATGCTTGTTATTGAGTTTAATGGCAAGTTTGATGCTGTCTACATAGATCTTAATGGGAAAATCGACAATCTGAGCTCTCACATGAAGAAGCTAGATGTACAAGTAGCTCAAACTGCACAATCCATCAAGCGACAAGAAGGTTTTCTTCCTTGAAACCCTGATGCAAACTCTAGGAAGAGCTGTAATGTCATCTTGGTCAGAGATGGAGATGATGAATGGGAGGAATTGGACACTGAAGACGAGTTGAAGCTCGCAGCAGCAGAGCTGGTGTCGACCGACACCTACCAGTGTCGATCGACACCCTATGGAACACTATTTTCTGAGACGATTCCATACGAAGGTGTCGATCGACACTGGGTCCGGACTGCACCATATGAGGTAAGAATCCCGATGCAGACCGAATCTGCCTACACTCCTCTTGTTCCTTATCCAAGGAAGCGTCGTTCTAAGCAGGAGATTCATGCTGCTAAGTGCACAACCATCATGGAAAAGATCCTCACCTCAATTCCTAAGGATACTTCGGAGACATCCTCTGCTCCACTCAACAGGTATGTCAAGCGCCTTGTTGACAATGGAATTAGCTCTAAGGAAGCTAAACTGCTGACAAGGGATATCAGTGCCATCATGCTGCCTAAGGCCAAGAAAGAGAACGCATAGAGGGTGGACATTGTTGAGTACATCTGCACCATCACTCTAGATTAGACCACTTAGAAGCTCCCAGATCCAGGTAGCTTCGTTCTTGATTGCTCTAGCTCCACAAGCAGGTTCAGAAATTCCTTGTGTGATATGGGATCAAGTATAAACTGCATGCCTAAGTCTGTTGATGAGAGATTAGGCATGACTAACTACAAGCCGACTAAAATCACTCTCCTTTTTGTGGATCGCTCCAAACGCATCCCTGAACGAATCTTTGAGGAGTTCCTGTTAAGGTTGGTAATTGTTTAATCCCTGCTGAATTTGTGGTTCGGTGATATGTCTATAATTTGCATGATTTAGGCATTCATTCTTCACCACTTTGTCATTGTTTCATCCACATTTCATCTCATTAGGAGTCGTTTTAGTATGTTTTGCATACTTAGGACGATTTTGCATTATGATTGCATGTGCATTGCATATTTGGTTATTTTCAGGTACTTTGGATGCTTTTGGAGTTCAAACAGAGGAGAAACAGAACAGAAAGTCAGAATGCCTAATAACGCCTTAAGCAAAAGTACTCTATCGCAGCCTCGGAACCTTGCAAGGGCAAATCACACTATCGCAACCCGGAGAAGCTAGCAGCTCAGTTTCACTCAATCGCGAAGCTGGATGAATCACCCCATCAGAACCACTTGATCACCACTCGATCACTAGGAGGCCTATCTGCTCGTTCTGCACTCAACCAGACAAGCTCAGAACAAAGAAGAGAAGAGAAGCCGAAGCAATCACTCGATCACCATCTCATGACATCCACTCGATCGCACTTGATCACAGGGTCGCTGGACCATTAAATCTCGTCTTCACTACATGTCACTCGATCGCAAGGCCGAGTCCTTGAAGCCCAGTTTGATCAATGATATACTCGATCACAGGAAAGCTCATTTCAGCCCATCAGATGCCAATGACACAATCGTGTGCACAGTCATGACGTGAAGATTCGCTATATATGTAGTTTCCTTATTTGTTTCATTTTTTGCTTATATATAGTGCCTCTTAGGGTTTTCCCTAGGGCATCCGTTATTATCTCGTGTTTCATCCACTTTTACATTTCGCAACTTTCAGAGCCGCAATGTTTCTCCTACGACTTTGTATTTTCACTTTCAAGTATTTGATATTCAGTTTTCGTTTAAGTCTTTTGTCATTTCTGTTATCATGTTTTCAATCGTTGCGTTGCTATTGTCTTTGATTATTTCTGAGTAGTGAACCGTATTTCTGAGGATGGGATAGATTAGTTGTGGTTTACTTGGTTGTTTTAGGTGGTTGAGTTTAGAATACTAGAGTCCCTTCTGGATTAGTTTCGCTTATTGCTTGTTTCACTGGCTAATGTGGAATATGAGTCCATACGTCCAGCGCTCAAAAGGCGTTAAATTGGCGTTGGATCCTATTAATTCCAGAGATATCTGCCTCTACCCCAAGGGATTGGCTGTAGAGAGGGTATTGGCTTTAACTAGTTGATTCGATAATTTGAGATCATTAGAAACGTTAAGATCAAGTTCGTTTTTGTTACACAAGTTACTTACATTGTGCCTTTTCTGTCTTTGTGTTTCACGTACCTTGTAACCCACTTTACAGACGCATCTTTGATTCGTCTGTTATTGCCCGACTGCTATCTGTTGCATGCATACACGGTCACAAGGAAATCATAACCTCCTATTCAACGATAACATCGACCGTATTGCTCGCCAACTGAGAGAACAAACAGAAACAGACACAATGGCTGACGTTGTAGATGAGCAAGAGCAACCCACCAACATTGGTGCTGGTGACTTCCCTCACAACCACAACCAGCGTCATGGAATTGTTCCACCTCCAATATAGAACAACAACTTTGAGATCAAAAGCGGTCTCATTGCAATGGTTCAGGGGAACAAGTTTCATGGCCTGCCAATGGAGGATCCGCTAGATCATCTTAACGAGTTCGAAAGGCTCTGTGGCCTTACTAAAATCAATGGAGTTAGTGAAGATGGTTTCAAGCTTCGTTTGTTTCCATTTTCACTTGGAGATAAAGCCCATCTGTGGGAAAAGACGCTACTCCAGGGATCAATCACGACTTGAAACCATCTTGGCAAAATTCTTCTCCAACTCCAGAACTGCACTACTCCATAATGAGATATCTGGATTCACTCAGAAGCAAAATGAAAGCTTCTGTGAAGCTTGGGAGCACTTTAAGGGTTATCAAACCAAATGCGCTCATCACGGATTTAAGGAAGCTTCTCTTCTCAGCACACTTTACAGAGGCGTCCTGCCTAAGATATGTATGCTCCTTGACGCCGCCTCCAATGGGAATTTCCTGAACAAGGATGTCGAAGACGGATGCGAGCTAGTTGAAAACTTGGCTCAGTCGGATCGCAATTACAACGAGGATTATGATAGAAGCATCCGCACAAGTACTGAATCTGATGACAAGCATCGTCGAGAGATTAAAGCTCTCAATGACAAAATCGACAAGCATTGTCCTCCAAGTGCAGCAGAAGCATGTTCACTTCGCCTCTGAAGACAAAGTATTCCAAATCCAAGAGGGGGAGAATGATCAGGGCGCTGAAATCAGTTAGGTTCAGAACCAAGGCGGATACAACAAAGGGTACAACAATTAGAGACCCAACCTAAATCTGTCATACAGAAGCACAAATGTCGCTAATCCTCAAGACCGAGTTTACCCTCAGCATCAGCAGCAGAAGAACCAACCCAAACCGTTTGTTTCTTACAACCAAAGCCAAGGGTTCGTTCCTAAGCAGCAGTTCCAAGGAGGGTATCAACAACAACAGCCACCACCTGGTTTCACACAACAACAACATCAGGCCTCTACACCCTAGGAATCAGACATCAAGAGTATGCTCCAACAGATCATAGAAGGACAAGCCGCGGGGGTAATGGAAGCTTCTAAGAAGCTGGCTGACTTAAACAACAAAATTGACAGACTGTTCGTTGAACTGAGTAGCAGGATGGAATCATTGAGCACAAGGGTACGATATCTGTACGGCATCACCACTTCACCACCTGTTACAAACAACCCAGGCCAGCTTCCAGGAAAAGCAATCCAGAACCCTAAGGAGTATGCCACTGTCCACGCAATCACTATCGAACATGAGTGAGAGCTGCCAACTCAACATATCTCTACATCAAACACTGAGGATAGTATAATTCAAGAAGGGGAGGCTTCCACTCAGATTGAAGTCTCCGTTGATAAGATCGACTATTCAGCTCAACCTTTCTATCAGGCTCAGTCTGACTTGGAGGAGATGGCTGCTATAATCGAGAGGATGGTAAAACGATTCAAGCCAGCTCCATCACCTTTACTTGCTCTTCCATGGACGTTCAGGAAAGCTTGGAAAAGCAGATATGAATCTCTGGCAAAAAAACAACTTCATGAGATGGAAGCTGTGATGCCCTTAATAGAAGTCCTCAAGTTGATTCCAGATCCTCACAAAGATGTGAGAAACTTGATATTGGAAAGGCTCAACATATATCAAGATTCAAATGACGAAGACGATGTAAATCCGCATCAAGCCGCTAGTGAGAGGATTATTCAAGAGAAGCTGGAAGATCCTTGATCTTTCACTCTGCAATGTTCTATTAGGCAATTGACTTTCAGCAATTATCTATGTGATCTAGGAGCCTTAGTCAGTTTAATGCCACTCTCTGTGGCAAGAAAGCTGTGATTTGTTCAGTACAAGCCTTGTGACATCACCTTAATCCTTGCTGATAGAACCTCAAGGAGACCTTTCAACATTCTAGAGAACGTGCCTGTAATGATAAATGGAGTAGAGGTGCCTACTGATTTTGTCGTGCTTGAGATGGATGAAGAGTCTAAGGATACTCTTATCTTAGGAAGACCTTTCTTGGCCTCAGTGGGAGCAGTAATAGATGTCAGATATGGTAAGATTGATCTCAACCTTGGGAGACACGTCAAGATACAGTTTGGCAACAAATCTCCGACAAGGTCACCAATGGAAGGAAAAACCTTAGAGATTCAGAGAGCGATTCCAAGTGAAGGCCTTGAGATCAAAAGAGGGAAGGAGCGAATTTTGGTTCAAACTCCGCCTTCGAACTCGACTACTCGATCGAGTATACCCTCCTCACTTGATTGGCTGGAACTCAAAAGGAAGACTGATCTCTTGAACAGATCCATTCAGAAGCTGAACTACACTGTTCAAAAGCTTAGAGACAAACTAAGTCGAATGCAAAAGGAGGTTCAGCCCCAGCTCAACCATGACACGATTTCCAGAAAGGAGATCACCTTGAATTGGTCAGAAGAGAAAGACTATCCTCTAGAGGAAGAAGCAGCCTACTATGAGGAAAGAGGAATTGAATACTCAGCTGGAGTGATCAACAACGATGTGATCGAGTGTTCAAATGAAAATTTTACAAAACTTTTCCAAATACTCGATCACAACATAGGAGTAAAAGCTCAGGAGTGCGATCTAGCAGTTTTGGAATAACAACTTTCTACTAGATCGCGAGGAGGAGTGAAAGTGTCCACAGAACGTCAATGACAAACCTTGTTTCCATAAAGTCCACTGGATTTCAATCTCCACTGAAACTCCCAAAAGCCCATGTTGAGTCCCCTTGTAGCCCATGACACGATATTAAAGGATAACGGCCCATACTCGATCACAAGGCGCGTGAATTGACGGAACCTCATCTTGCCGACATAAAGCACCATGCTTTGTCACCTTATCACTTTGCCGACATCATAACGGGCATTGCATCTCATCCGTTCGTTTAAAAGCAACACACCTCCTCCACTCATTCAAATCGCAAAGGGAGATAAGTGTCACTACTCTTCACTTTCCTTCATCACTTGTGATTTCAAAACATCTCTCTTGTTTATCTCTCTACTTCACTACCAAAAACGCTCTTAACTCTTTCATTGTTGCAAGCTATTATTGACTAAAACAGAACCTCAGAAACCACTCTATTGCAACCATGTCTGTCCTTCGCTTGCTTCACTCGATCACGACCTAAGCTCTCACCATCAAACTCTACTCGATTGCAACTCTTTCTCAACATGAAGTCCTTTCTTTCATTCTCTTTGTTTGTTTCTCACTAACCTATTGAGCTTTAGTTGTGAGTTTCAAATCGATTTCAGCTTCAAGATGAGTTCACACAGCTACGAATCATCTATGGATGCCGACTAGTGATAACACTATATTTTACTCATTTTAGGTGTATGTTTATCATCATTTAGCTTTGCATTTGCTCATTGTATCATATCATTTTGCACCATTTTAGCTTATTTTGCATTCGCATTGCATGTTTTTGTGTGTTTTCAGTTGCAGAAGGAGCTAAAAAGGACTTTACTCGATCCATTCACTCGATCCAGGCAGCTATAGAAGAGGCATCAATTCACTCGACCTCTCTACTCAATCCAGGCAGCTACAGAGGAGGCTACAGTTTACTCGACCCTCTTACTCGATCAAGGCAGCCTCAAATGAAGCAGTAGATTGATTTACTCGCCCCTCCTACTCGATCCTCTACTCGACCCATTTACTCGAGCAAGGGTGACCAAATTACATGACTTGTTGAGCTATCAAAGCGTGTTCGGATCCTCCTCATTCCCCACTCAACCATACATCTGAGCATACGGATAGGAGAGGAAGAACCATCTACTCGACCAATTGATCACTCGGAGCATAGACACAAAGGCGCAGACTTTGCAGCACCCTCTTTACTCGATCCCCAAGATCGAGTATTCGCCCAAACCTCCTCAAGTCTCTTGTCTTCTAGTGAATATAGGGTTTCAATATTTTACTATATATAGATCACTTTGGGATTTGTCCAAAGGATCCAGGTTTTATCTTTCAGTTTTGCTTTGTGTTTATGAATCTTGAAACCTTAATTACTCTTAATCTATTTCGTTTTTGCATTTAGTTGTTTAAGTAAAGTTGTTTAGCTTGTTTAGATCTACATTTTAGTATGATTTCAGTAAATTCTGGGTTTGTGTTCTTGAGAATGTTGCTTGAGTAGTAATTAGGGTTCTTGAGAATGGATTAGATTAGGGTAATCTCTAGGTTAGTTAGGTGGTTAGTGTTTAGGTTAGTACCCTTCTGGATTCGCTTGGCCCCTATGCGGTTTTCGCTGGCTAATGTGAAGATTCGATCATAGACGTCGAGCATCCAAAAGACGTTTAAATGGATGTTTGGTCTACGAATTCCAGAGATTTGTAGACTCGACCAAGAGATTGGCTTGTCTGCTTATTGGCTTTGGTAGATTGTTTCATAAACCCTGCTCTGCTATGTTTCATCAACGAGACTTGAGATTAAGAAGTGGTAGAGTTATGGGGGTCTTTGTCACGAGAGTGGATTGACCCGGTTTTTGAATCTATCGTCAAGGGTACCTACCTTTCACCTATTAGCCATCTGATGAACCCTAGAGTTGCCCTTATCAATGAATCCATCCTTAGGACTTCTGTTAGACCTATTTGTATCCCCTGTTGATTGCACTTTTATTTACCTGTTATTTGTACCCCCTATTTGTATCCCCTGTTGATTACATTTTAGTCCTGCCTATTAGTTCTACTCGACCCAATGATCGAGTAGGGCTCTTAACTTCTCATTTTTACTTGTTCGAATCCTGACCTAGGATTGTCAGTAGAAACCCACCATCATTATATGGCTTGACTTAGTTGTTTCTGTACACATCTTGATTGATAGCAATAACAGTGGACTGGATTGACACCCCCTATAGCTGCATTGACATGTTTGTGTTTTAGGGGAATTGAACTGAATCACACACCCTTCAGCATATAAGTAGGCCTAAAAAACCTGCTTATCAATTTGGCGTCGTTGCCAATTCATTGTTGCATTGTTACATTCAAGATATCAGAAACTTTTAAGATCAAGTTCTTTTACATTTATCAAGTTACTAACTTATATTTTCGTCTGCTTGTTTTTGTGGTATAGGTATTAATCATTGTGCATGCAAACCTGATCCAAAGGTTCTGCACACGTATTACCATTCAGAGACAGAATTGACAAAATAGCTTGTGAGTTACAAAAAACCAAAGCAAAGACAACCTGTGATCAGCCAAGACCAGCTGCTATGGATCAACAGAACAGACCAGTTGATGTTCAAGACCCATCTAATGTTGATCAACCAAGAAACATTAGTGTTGGTGATGCCCCAAGGAATCATCACCAAAGACAAGGGATAGTGCCACCACCAGTTCAAAACAACAACTTTGAGATCAAGAGTGGTCTCAT